GGTTTCCTGTGTTCGCGATCAGCATTGATGGTCCAGGTTAACGAGGAAGGTCCTAGGCATAGAAACTAGTTCAACTGGCAAAGGTTATTTGTTTGAAGCTCCTCGATCAGCATCAGGTAGTCGATCTTCAGCTCTTGAGAAGTCTGTTATCTGATTCACTGTCAGTTTTTGATCCTTAACAGCTTCATCGTCTACTTAACTCGACTCTAATTACCTTTTGCGAGTTACATTTCGCCAGCCGTAGCTATTCTTATTGAATTAATTCATTTCTAAATGCTCCTCGGTTGCTATTGAGTGCTATTGAGCTGTTATAGAGTAACTTCGTCAGTACAAGTTGACTTTTTCTGACTGTCCAGAACTAGTCTTTGAGGAAAAAATGCCGCTATGAACGGTTTTCCGCGCGATGCTCCTCACGAGTCTAGCCTGAAAGCTTTTCAGGGCTCCTCAGTGCTAAATCCATCAATACTGCATGCTTTACGGGTTGATGAACTCGTATGTCGTGCTTGGCGTTGTCTTCAATTTATATAGTTCCTAAGTTTCGCCGTCCTCTTTTTTATTCATTATGAGGAATTCGCTCTCATCTCGAAGTTATCTCGAAGTTAAGCAATCTATCCTTAATTATTCTCAATTATCGATAAGTATAAGTTAGATATCTGTTAGGTGTCCAATGAGTGATGATAGTTTTACATGTATGTATCGCCGGCTTATGATTCCTGTGGTCCATGGTTGATTGTCGTTACCCTTCACAGATACGGTATCATCAATGGATCTTCCAAGGCTCATATTATCGGCACATGCGAAACGCTTGCTAATGAGTGTATGGGTACGATGTATAGGACGCTCGTCGTGCATTCAATAGAGGACGATAACGGATGCTAGTTGTGGCGTCATGCTAGAATGCAGGTGATGGATGACACGAATAAACATCATATGTGCAATGATTTCAATTTAAATGCCCAACTAGAACTACCTTATTGCGCATCTTACGATAAGCTTGTTACTAAGAAGTATCACATTTACTTAGCCACAGCTTATCTGAGTAGATTTGAACTTAATCTTACTTTGCCCTATTTTGAAATTGTCTTCAGATTCCGAACGATCGCTATTGGCACATAGCACGGCATGGACGCACTTTGGTACACCTGCACTACTCTCGAACAAGGGGCGAAAGCCCCATCGCCCCGTGCCTTCGATGGAAATATTTGATTGAAAATATATAAAATTTCGAATATTCCAATAATTCTCAATAATTTTTTGATAAGATGTCACTTCAACGAGTGTTTCGCGGACCATTTTTTTTTCGGAGCGTTGTTCTGTTTGATCTCAAATCACAGAGTTCGGTAGGGCTCGAGAAGAAAGAAATGCATTTATTCCTACGATATCGATTTGCATATTCGTGCACAATCTGTGGGAGCCATTGTATATTGGATGCTTTTCGAAGATTTTTATTCTGTCATTTCGTACTAATGTTGTACTTGTACACAGTACAATTCAGATGTGCAAAATTTACACCTAGCAACACGATTAACACGGGGCATACTTTGTTGCCCGTTGGGAAATGAGGCATTGATTTTTTTCCAATTTTTTCTCAAGTATTGATATGTACAAGTATGTTCATTAAATGAATCGTTTTTTTTAGAGATTTGTAGATAGCAATGGTTCGTCCGAATACGGGGCGTGGTCGGTCTGAATAGGGTGTGATGGGAAGACGACTGGTGCGTGAGCGTGCTTTGCCGGCCTTTGAAAGCGAATACAAAAGACTGAATAGAGGGAATGGAGCGGTGGATTGAAAAGAAACAATGCGCTGTAATGATTGGCCTCCACAATGCGCCGCATAAGCCATTATACAGAGTGTGCAAGAGAAATCCTGCGGCTCATCGCATACTAGCTTTGATTTTACTTACAATCACAGGCGCCGGTTCATCGTTTCGTAGTTCGTGTCGGTGTGCGCACCTTGTTCTTCTGACATGTTCACTACGGTACAGATGTGTTGTCATCCATGCGGCCTCTTAATCATTTCGTCATACGGTATCTGAGTCACGTCCGAATATTGATATTCCTTGGGCTACAGTAGATTTTCTTCTTTCCGAGACCCTACTGATACGTCGCCAGCCATGGAAAATTCTAACGAAAGTCTAATGTGTGTATGTGATACGGTAAGCAATAATCATCGTTGTGATTCTCTCTCATAAACTTCAGACAATGTAGGATTTTTGTTTACAGGTCAACGTAGCTTTGATGAAACAGATGCAATGTGGATATGTAGAAAGGCCAACTTAACGTGTCTGTGTGCGTGTGTTTAGTTAGTAATAATGTCTACCGTAGACGAAATAAATCCACATTCACCTCAGTCGAGCCTTCCTTGAAATTCTTTTGAAATCGTCGTTTACGGTGCAATTGGCTGTTCAAGGTTCGGCATTGATCGTTTTGACCTTGTCCATTTGGAGTGACGCGTCACTATGAATTCATCTGATCGTTTACAATAGTTTGTTTTATACTACGATCATCCTACACACATGTTCTCTCTTCTACCCTCCGTAGTAGTTTTGTGCATTACTTTACATTTTTTCCTTGACGATAATCTGTATGGTTTGGACGTTACAAATAACCGGAAGTGCTGGGTCTGGCAGCTACGTCCGACCATCCAACAGATCTTCCTGTACCTCGTAATGTTCTTTCCTATTAACTGCTACTATTATTGAAGTGTCTGTGACTGGTTTCTGCCTCTCGTTCACAATGTACACAAAATACATCACCTGGCATCATCATATTGGCGTTCGTTAGTATATTGTTGAATGAAATAGATTTTGCCTGCCTGAATTTTCCTGTTAGAAATGTGTTCGAATATTATACAGAAATCAATATGTCAATGATTTTCTCTGAAATCAATAAAAAGTCTAGTCAAAGTTACTTTGAAATTATGGTCATGTATATCATTGCATCTCAGGAACATCTCATTGGACTCAGCTAGAGCTCGAGCTAATCACGACGTATGTGTGTGTGTCTGTTCCTCTTTATTAGCACATCCCAGGCATGTACTCATTATGAGGACTGCATGGTAGAATGAGTTCGCACAGCGTAACACATCCGCATAAGATTTAATCTGGTCATACAGCTATGTGCACCTATTTTCCTTCTACTTAACCGAGCAGTTTCATGAGCGTACTTAAGAACTCTTCCTATCCTGAAAATCCTTCAAAATTTCACAGACAGGTCGGAATTTCAGCTTTTCAAACTTTTTCCCGGTCTCGTTTAAGTGAAATCTTTGAAAATCTTCCTGCTCGTACAGCTTGTGTATGTGTCGATTTCTAGGTCCATCAGCTGAAATTTTAAAAAATCTCAAGCAGCATTTTTCACTGAAATTATTTTGTTAAGCCCTGAGATACTTGCTGCCTCTAAAATGGCCCCGCAACTAGCCTTAATGTACTCATAATACTATTTCTAGTGTCAGTTTTGAAGCTGGCTACAAAACGGCTCCAAGTTACTGCTTGACGTTGAAAAATGAATTTTGATACTTGAAAAATCTCCAGCGAAGGCCATTTTCTGATAATTTTTCTTGCCAACCTTAATTACCCTCATTTAAATGAAATAATAAGAGTGAATATTGATGTGAAAAGCATTTTCCTTGCAGTTCTTTCATACTGCCCTCAGTTTGGATATTTTCCATACTCCTCAGAATTGTTCAATTTTTCATAAATTTTAACATTTTTTTCTTCGAATACAAGTTAACGTTCTTTGATACTCAATATGAGAAGGATGTTGGAAAAGCGTTTGGCATGGATATCACGTTCACTCTGCCAATACCGTGTAGTTATCTATTCGTAGCGGCATACTTGCATCACTAATGAGCAAAGAGAGTTCTTGCCCACAAGTGGGGATACTGTAGGTTTGGTAGATCGATCTGTCCTGCTTTACTGCCGGGTAAACATGATTTGACTTCGTCTTGACAAACACCAATGCTACAGTGAGTGAACGTGAAGGGGAAGCAGAAATGTCGACTGTACGGCTGTGAATAACTATTTTAGACGGTTTTTTCTCTAGCTATGTACTGAAGGGTAAATAGCTGAAAAAATGATATTTGTAGTTTGGAAATAAGATTCGTAGTGAACTGGCGACACCTCAGCACCGAACCACCAAAAGATTAGCGCGCGATTAAGCGATTTTGGGAGTCGCGGCCTTCATGCCATAAACGGATTGCGGATTACTTTACCACCATTCCCATTCTCTGGACGATGATTGGTGACTGTTGCAATAATGAGTGCCAAAATAGCGCTGACAAGAGTTGGTCATTGTTGGACATCAACCTAACTCCAATTTGAGTAGTTCCGTGCAAATTTCTGAACTGAAACGTGGAACGTGGTCAACGTTTACGCAAGATCAACTGTGTCAATTCACACATGTAGTCTCAGCTGCCATACTGGCCGCTGCTCGATAATCACATTTCACTGTTTTGGCTTCAAAATCAACTACTAATAGCTAACTATACAGAAATAGCGATTCATATGCACCTCAATTTATCAGCAGTGATGATAACCATCCACCTGGCTGTCGGTCCACGATGTTCAATCGTATTGAATTGCATATCGGCTCATGTCCTTTGTAGCGATTTACTCAGGCAATCCTGTTTTGTGAGGGGCTTGGTTGAAGCGTTGCTGTCATTTCAGCAGACTATTTTTTAATACAGCTCATGAATTCGTTTGTCTAGAAAGTTTAGACCTGAAATTCATAGCTGAAATCCTCATTGAAACATTGGCAGTCTCGTCATTATCGAATCTTGATGGCACATGAAGGCGTCGATGGCTTAGACGGTAAGGAGGACACGCCCTTGTCCGCCTTTGATTGGCGGAACCGTGTTGCGCCGCCCACTTTTGTTGAGGCGCACTCAGGCGCCGATCTTCTATTGTGTTGGTGTGGTGGTTGCCGAGCCCGTTCCGCCTCTACCGATCATATCCTGAGTTTTATAAATTGGTCTTCTTATCTGCGTGACAATATCGCTAACAATGATGAGTATGATGGAGCATGAACTTAAACAGGTATGTCAACACACACTCATGTCATTTCAATTCTTGTATATGACTAGTTTTGATATCGCTTAGCAGATGACCGACTACAATCAAATATGGCCAGGTGTGGGTGGATTTCATCTTCCACCTACATCCTCGAGTCAACTGTCTGCTCAGAATGTTCACGATGATCTTTCACCCGCTCCTGACTCACCAGATTCTTCAAAGGACGGGAAAAAGAATGATGACAGGTGCCACCTTTTGTGTATTCTCTTTTTGAACCCGTGTTTTGTCCTGAGAATAGACACCACAAATATGGAATTGACCCAGTTTCTTGCCTTATCCCTGATTTACCTGAGTAAGATTGTGATGAGCCGAGGATGTTACAGCGTCGCAATCTCGGGCAGGCTTTCGCGCTTACTGCATTTCTCATTGTAAGTAATTACTGAGAGCCTTGTATAGGCAGCAATCAAGCACAGAGGCGTTAAGCCTGGTTTGTTCGTTTAACGAAGCCGCGTGAATAACTGTAGCACTTTACAAAATTGACGTGTTTTGAGGATTATCATGACAATTATTGCCACTTTCATGAAATCTTGATTCAGGGTGAAACGTCCAATGAACGCATTCATGGTATGGAGCCGGAGTAAGCGCAGATTAATGGCCCAAGTTCGTTTCCACATCTCCTTGTAGAATTTTTTTCAATGTCAAAAACGAATCATTGCAGGAAAACCCTAAAATGCACAATTCCGAAATAAGCAAAAGACTTGGAGCTGAATGGAAGTGCTTAAGTGACAATGAGAAGAGGCCTTTCATTGATGAGGCCAAACGATTACGTTCAATCCACATGAAGGTTGGTAGATTTAACCAGCTGCATTCGCACTGAAGTCAGAATTTAACCCGTCAGCAAATTCATCGGTTCTTTTCAGGAGCATCCCGACTACAAATACCGTCCACGAAGGAAGACGAAGTCGTTGCAGAAGAAGACCCTTCCGATGGGACCCTTTGCCACGTTGGATCCTCTGAAACCTCAGGTTCGTTGGGATAATTCCCTAATCTGGCACCAGTTGAGCCCTGTGACAGCGACACACGAACAGATCCATAACAAAAGCTCAGCTCCCTGTAGTATCGAGATTTTCAACGCGTGCGTGCGTTTCACACAATCAATGTTGCGCCACCGCGCCATCTGAATGCTGCTTTGTTCCCGACCCACTCACTCACATACTTCACCCCACTCCATCGATTCACACCGAATACAGCGACATTAGTTTTATCTGATGGATACACACAGAAAATGGGGTAATAATTAAATCTTAGCAACTTTCAGGTTTACAATTCGGTCCAGTCATGGAATGGTAACAGTGCATATCCATTCGACACCTCCTATGGTCTGTATCCTCGAACAGGATACGAGATGCTCAATCAACTACCGTATCTCGACAGTTCACCATCACAGTATACTCAATCCCCACTTGGTAGCGCTTATCCAGTAAATTACCTCACACAAGCTCCTGTGGTTAAATCCGAAGTAGAGGCATCTCCTGAAAGCACGGAAATTTCTCTAGATCCTGGTCACTTCCGGGCATTTTATGATCCTTCTAAGGATCCGATGACATCAATGTATTCTAATCCGCTTTCATATTCGTCCCTTGAAAGCATGGGACTTACGCAATCTATGCCTCAGTCTCATGTCACCTCTTAAGCGAGCCAACGGGTTCGGAGGACACTTTGACTTCAGTTTCACTCTTCTTTCTGGGTTGTATTCTGTTAACAGTTGATGATTTATCAGATCGTTAATCAGAGTGACCGAAGATCGTCCTCAGAAATGGGCTCGTTAAGTGTGCCACTGCTAGCGTTTCTGTACTGAACTCTAGCTAAAATAACTCAGTTGCCTCACAACGTATATTTATTGTGTATGTGATAAAGTCTCAGTGTCATATATTACCTCGTAACTGAGTATGATATGCAGTACACACCGAAGATCAGCTCCAGTTTCTTAAAGTTGTGTTGAATCCCTGGAACAGGTTACCAGAAACATATAGTTTACGTCTTCACCCATGTACAGTTTTGTTTTCTTATTTATGAAACGTTTTATGAGCTCTGTTAGTAAACTCACCTCCATGCACTGTGAACAGACCACGGCAGAATCGTTTTCATTTTCTCATTGTTTTAATAAGATATGATTATAATGTATTTCATGAAGTCTTTTCCTTACTTACACACTTCTCTATCTGCCTACTCTTAGTGGGTTAGGAACAAATTTTCTCACCAACACATAGCAGGTGATGAGCAAAATCGGTGGTAGGTATGATTTGGTGACAGTTCAGTGTGTGGGAGAATGTCCCCGATCCTACATTATAGTAATTGTGCGAATTGTAATGGGCGGCACCCTCGGTGCATTTCACAGCAGCAGAGCAGAGCAGATCCATCGTTCGGAGCCATTATGAAAAGGCGAGACCTGGTGCGACAAGGGATCGTATTTCTATGTGTTTTGTGGTAGGAAACCGGACAACGCCAACGATTCGTCTCACAGGACCAGGACAAAGCATCACGAACACACCTCAACCTATCCTCAACGAATATTTTCAAACTACTAAAAACCAAATTTCATTTAAAAATTTCTCTATGCAATTCTTCTCTGTGAGGCATTCGACTGAGTACTGTGTCATAGACAGAAGGCCTAGACAGAATCTCTACAGATGGGTTTTTCTCAACGCAAACGAATGCCGAACTTGAGTGTACCATGCGCTGCCTTTGTGATATAACTCCTAGTTTGAATCACTATTGTCGCCAGTGTTCTGTCGGATCGCTCACAGCCACTTTTGAAAAAAGGTAGAAGGGTCCGGCTCACAAGGTTCCGCCTTTGTTAGCGCTATCACTAAAGTTGTTGAGAGAAACTCCCACTAACAACTGAATGAGACACTAATTCAGAACGGCGGTGAAGTAACAGGGAGCTGTTAACAAGTAAAAATCAGCCGTAATGAGTAAGAAAATAATTGTTGTAAGAGCCTTCCTAAGGGGTTTTTACAAGTTCCTATGAGATTCTTATCGCAGCGTTATTATTAGGGTGGCCAGTACGTGAATGAATGCTATCGTATGATCGTCTAGGTCTCGCGTCAGCTTGCTTGGGGTGTTTAATATTGAGGCGTGCTTCAACTCGTAGCACTGCGGGGTGTCCGAAAACCCCGCTAATCATGTTTTGATTTCACTCTTGAATATCGTATACGTGCGCCAATTTGCGGCTCGTTTCCTACCGTACATCAAAGGAATGGTGGATCGGCGAGCAACATTTTTTCTGATACAACATGACACATTGAACCTACAGGGAACTTATGCAGTAATGTTAGAATGTTAAGTTAAGTATCAAGTTGGGTAGGCCTCGTTTTTTAATGCTTATGGTGTCCGTCTGAAAATAGCCTTTTGAAAATTTTGCGAAATGTAATAGGAATATAAACATCGTGAGCTGACAATGAGTGGTGTGTCACCCCAACGCGGTCTTTTCTTCGGAGGAAACAATGGGATAACTCCAACGAATAACGGGACAACTTCCATGCCCAATATTATATTTGACTTGGCTCTATTCGTTTGTTTGTTCGGTTGTTTGCTAAAGTGCTTATTCAGCTTACTCCAATACAAGTGGCTGTTCAGTAGTAACAACTGAAGTCGGTTACTTACATTCTAAACGAGTAAGAAAATCATGTGGTACATTAGGATGGAGGGAACATTTGATATCCATGAATACACTAAGACTGAACTGCAATTAGGATCGGCATACCTGGAAGGGAACCAAAGTGCCACCGTACTCTCCTCGCGGGGTGCCCAACCCTCTACTAATTAGTCTCGCGCCATTGTTCGCAGGCCAATTGCTCAGTCCACAGGTCGGTCAACCACAATTGCCGAAACCGTAATCGAAAGGATTACCTCTACTTTCATTCAAGCATGAAGCTGAGCAACTAATCCCTCAAAATACTACCTTTAGATTATTGCTTATTCACTTGAAACACTACAATCAATAAAAAGGAAAAAACTGAGGTAACAAAACTGAATATCCTCTGCTATAAAGTGGATACAACTAATTATTCTGGGAAAATAAGCATCACAAGCGGTTTGCAAGCTGTTTCGGATTAATTGATGATAATGGGGGTTGGACGTTGTGTTGCGATTTCGATAACAATGGAATTATGTTATTGTTTAAAAATATGTAGCCCGAACATGTCGATTTTTCTACACTGCAGTTGAAGATGCGTGTGGACGCGATCCTGCCAGCGCTTGGCACGGGTTTAGCAACAAATTTGAAACTTGCATTTCCTAAAACAAGAATCCTAGCCCGCACACGAACACTAAAGAGCGAGGCATTCCGATCGATAACAGCAGACACTATACATCTTTTTTGTATGCTTCAAAGGACGTTCAACGGGCTCACTAGTCATAGCTATAATCTGTGAATAACCCGTGCCCGTTCGCCCGAAGTCACCTAAATATTCCCTAGTGGTGTAATTGTCAACATGTACACATGGACTAGGGTTATATGGGGGGAAACATCGTAGAGACGACCAACAACTGCCCTCTAATTGCCAGATTACCCGCGTGTGGCTACTGCAAAGAGACTCATGATGCTATGAGGTGTAATCCGTCTGTGCCCTTTTACCATTCCGCTTCCGTGGCAACGTCTTCTGCCTCTAATGAGTACACATAAAACGTCATCAGCTCTACAAATCATAGTTGGGAAAATATATGCTGAAAATGAATCAGGGGTATGAACGCCTGTCCAACCTGCCTCTCCAACCTGAGTTACTTTAGTTATTACATTGTAACCCTTATCAACTCGTTGAGGCAACACGACATGGAGCATCATGATCTTCACATCAAAGGAGTCAGACTACTATAACCCAAATTTTGACTTGTTTTGTTTGGTAACTGCTGGTTTGGGCGCAGTTCGCCTTGATTCACAAGGATGCTGGGTTGAGAACAAAGCTTTCGCCCCAGATGGAAATCGAACCCGCACCTCAAAAAAAAACCATTACATAGTATTTCACGAACTTGAGAAAAACAATATTTTCTCCGTCAACAGATAGTTGACATGGCTGAGAGATAGCTCATGACCCAGAATAGCACAGCTCTCCTAGGGCTTTTCTCTTGATGCATAGAACAGAACTGGACCACCATTTTTCAACCGACAATCCTAAGCATTGTCTCTGATGCGCCAAGAGGTAACTTTAGGGCTACGGATCGCCAGAGATTCGATAATAAAGAGTGTTTTCAGACTCTTTTGTTAACTCTATGAGTTTTTTCAACTCCCTTTTCTTTGTCGTTGTATGTTTTATATTACTAATTCGCAGCAGTGTTATTGGCGCCCTTTGTGCAATAAAATAAATGAATAAATAAATAAATAAACAACAATACTCAATAAGCATTGCTCTATTCCTCTTTTTCTATCGAGAGAAGGGAACCTACTCGAAAAATTTTAAGATGGGCACAGGTGAGCCTCTTTCTCCCCTGGACAGTTTGAAGAACTGACATTAATTGCTGCGTGCGACCTGAGTTCACTCCATAACCTCAAAAAAGCCGGCTCGGCATACCCTATATATTTGCAAGTCCAAAGCTTTTCAAAAACTCGAAGTGAAAGGTGATGATTTAATTAGCCTTTCATGATAATGTGCATTGTATATAGGTGTGCACACATCTGCGCTAAATTTCAATACGAAAACAAAGAATTTTAATAAGTTCTTAATTTCAATCATTTTCAAAGGGTTGGTCCCCTTGCCTGGCCATCAAGATTCTGGCATGTACCCCTGCTATTTTCCGTCACTGATTCACAGAATTTTTTTTGATACTACAGTTTTTTTTCTTTTCCCGACCATTGCAAAAATTTCTCATCGCAAAGCACAATCCGCCGAAAGACATCAAAAAAATGAGTATGACACAGAAGGCAAAAAATGGCCACACTAAGGTCGGCTCAGCTACGTCGTTTTCCAAAGGTGAATAGATAGAAGCAAATAAAAGTAATTTAGGAGTGAATAGGTACTTTCTTATCAAACATAGAAAAAAGTTTTTTTTTCCACCTTCACATACGGATGAGCTCTGAATTTTTATAAAGCCTAGTTATATTTTAAAGAAGATTCAATGCTAAAGTTGGTTGTCGAAGAAGGAGAAACTTGCCTAGTGGAAAGGCAGGCGAACCCCTGAGAGTGCGGACAGACACGAATTCGTAGCGAAGCATATGCCCCAGCGGCCTAATAGGACCGTTCGCGCGCGGCTCGCGCCTCCGCACACCCGCCGATAGGTGACACCTCGCCGTCTGACTCTAGCCGTTCAGCAGAGGGAGCGCTATCGGTGGAGATGGCAGCGTTGATGAGAGTCGCATCAGTGCACAAATCAATGGACAAAGGAAGGATTCTATTTCATGGGTTTTCGGCAGTTTTCATGGTTTTTGCCACATCTCTGCACCAGTGACGACTTCATCGTAGACTCTGCCTTTAAGTTAAGTTGGTTGAGGCATACAGTTTTAGTAGGGAGGGGTAAAATGTCTTAATTTGATGCGGCAGCGGTTCTAGATTTATCAAAACTCAGAAAAACTACAACAATGAAGAAGCATTATGGAGAAAGAAAGAAGAGTAACAGTGAAGCAATTGTACATGGTGCGCCATAAACGAGGTAACGAAATAATTAGGGCAGAGAAAGTGCATTTTGGGTAGAAACACG